GAGTGCTAGGATTACAGGCGTGAGGCACCGCTCCCGGCCAAAAAATACAAGAGGTTTTTTATTTCAATAAATATTCCTGGAGTGGACAAATCCCTTCTAAATGAGATAGAAAAGACTGATAAATATGACTGTTTAAAAAGTCTGAGAAAAACATTGTTAACCAAAGTTAAATGAAATGACAATTGGGGGGGTGGGGAATCTTTGCTTTCTATGTCTTATATATATTTATAAATGCATATTTCTCTACAATATATATTATATATGCATGTATATGTGTGTGTGTGTGTGTGTGTGTGTGTGTGTGTATATCTATCTATATATGAAGAAAGTGAGAGAGAGCTCTTACAAAGCAATATGTAAAAGATGCACAATCCAAGAGAAAAATGGCAAAAGACATGAATAGGCAGTTCCTGGAAGTTCAGATTATAAGAAATATTATTAGAAAAGATCATCTTTCATCTATCAGATTAGCCAAGATCAAAAGATTAACAATGGCCTTCCACTTACCTCTCTAAACTCCTATGCCACTACTGTCCCCTTCCCTCACTCCTCTCTAGCCACACTGGCCTTCTCCTTGCTGTTCTTGAAGATGCAAGGTTATCTTTCACCCGGGGCCTTTGCACTTAATGTATCCTGTGCCTGTGACACTGCCCCCAGACAGCTACACGGTTTACTCCCTCACCTCAAGTCTTTGCCTCCCTGACTACCTATTTAAAATTCCAACTCTCTATCATTCAGACACACAACATCCTCCTCTCTGGCTTTATTTTTCTCCACAGCACTCCCTACCTTTTAAAATACCATTTTTGTTTTACTTATTCTATTTACTGCCTATCTCTGCAGGATTTTATTTTGTTTACTACTTATCTGCAATATTGTGAACGTATTGTGGTCCTTAGGAGGTGCTCAATAAATATCTGTTCCACAGTGTTAGTGGGTGGGTGGGGGGGAAACAGGCACTCTTACACACTGTTGGAAAGATTATAAATTTGTAGTCTTTTTGTAGGGCAATTTGGCAATATCTACCAAAATTTAATTACATATTCTTTGGCCCAGAAAAAACACTTTTAGGAATTTATCCTACACATATACTAGCATATGCACACAAAGATGTATGTGTAAGATTGTCAGTCTACCACTGCCTGTAAGACATAAGGACCAGTTTTTAAAATATAATATATATTGTATGCCATTAAGTTGTAAAATATGTATATTAAATCTGTATATGTTGAGATATAATCATCTCTAAGGTATAATGATATAGAGAAAAAAGCAACATACAGAAAAGAAAGAATGGTATGCTCCCATTTGTAACTTAATTTTTACAGGCTGGGGGAAGGTGACACTTATATTTGTATTAAAGATTTCAGGAAGAAAGCAAAAGACACCATTTAACAGTGATTGTCTCTGAGAATGGGGTCTAAAAAAATGGAGTGTAAGACAGACTTACTTTTATTGTGTATCTTTATGTATGTCTAATTTATTACCACGCACTTGTATGGTCTTTCCAGTAAGAAGTTGCTTTTTTTTTTTTTTTTTTTACAAAAAGTCTATTATAGCCACTTAAGGTAGATAAAAACAGTCTTTCTCATTTGAATGTAAGAGGCAAATAGTGGGATCATGTATAAAATAAAATTAAATGAGGAACTGCGGCTAGAAGTAAAGTTTCCATAACTATTCATTCCAATGCTTGCTTTAGTGCCAGGTAGAAAATTAAGTATGTCATTTTAGTGTACTAGAAGTTGCACTTGTGTAACTTAATAAAACACGTGTAAGGTAACAAATTCAAATTCATCTGCAGTCATTTCAGTGAAAGTTAATCTCTTTATTTATAAAATAGGATGCTATAGTGGATGATCCCCAGGGCTTTTCCCACGCCCTCAAAAGTATATGTTCTATTACATAAGTAAATTCCTTGATATTTTCAGGTATACTGCAATCTTATCTTTTTTATCTGGCTTTATTCTCATTTAATATATAAGGTTTGTTTTTTCTTAATGTACTTACATATAAGTATTGTAAAAGGTCAAGGCATTACATGGATTTTAAATGAGACCAATAAACTATTAATATGATCAAGGGAAAAGATCAAAATGAAATACTACAGAATAAAATATCACTTGCCTTTCTTGAATGGAAGAACTGAACATGTATCGCAAGCAGCAAGCCCATACCTGAGGACTATAGATATGTATAATTCCAGATAGCCAACTAAAAGAAAAAGAAAAAATTAAAAACTACAGTAATTTATAAAGTAATATATTTAGATTACATTCTTCTCAAGGTAATATGGTAGATCCTTGGCATTTACATTGAAAGACCTCACAAATAAGAAATCTACAAACACCAGACCATCCTGATAATTAAGAGGGAGAATATATAATCTATATCTCTATACATATCCATATATATAAATACATATCTAGAAGAGGGAGAGGCAGGGGAGGTTGGAGAGAGAGAGAAAAACAAGTGTGCACTTCTTTCTCTCTGTCCTCTCCTACCTAACATGTGGAAGAGGAAATAGTTAATCAAGGTAAAAACAAAATGCTAAAATGAATTAGCCTGGACTGGAAATAGGCTGAATTAGAGAAGACTGAAGTTCGTAGCCTAAAACTACTTTACAAAGTTGCTGAGAGGATTAAATGCTATAACATTTTTGGTAGCCTGAAACAGAAGGTTCTTAGTAAATATTCACTTAGACATCAATAACCCATTGACAAAACCAGGAGCATAGCAAATACACTGCAAGTAGATTTCATACTCCAGAGAATATTTGTGCATTCTCATTAACTTTGTACATGTCATTCCCAAACATGGGTTCTTTTTCCCATCAATCCTCCCTTCTACTATCCAAACAATTAAAGGTCTAGCTCAAGTTTCCCTTCTCTAAGATAATGCCCTTTAGCTTCTTTTTCTTACAAATACTAATAGTGTTCATTGTATATTCTGTTCAATTCATAATAAATCATATATTTTATTACTTATTCTTCGATGTATGAATACTTGAATATTTTATCATCTCACTTTGATTACAAATTCCTTGAGAAGGAGCTTTAAAGCTCAATACGGCATCAACAGAATACTACATATATGATAAATGCTCGATAAATACTGAATAAATATAAATTTCTCAATAATCTGTCTAAATGTCATTAACCACTAACTCTAAAGAGAAAGCCATTAACACTAAAGGGAACTTCTGCAAGGTTGCCTGGCAACAGATTTTAAATCATGTTATTTTGAGCCCTGGGTTCCTCAAGATGTCTTGAGGACAAGGGGTGGTGAGAGAAACCTGAAGAAACAGGGCTCTGAGACTTCAATTTCAACCAGAAAAATTCAATGTCTATCTGTATTACATATTGGAGTTCTTTCTAAATTGGGCAAAATCTTATTTTAGCTGATTCTACTATTAAAATGAGAAAGCTTGACAACCACTGGCCTTTGTGGCTTTACAAAATGATCTAAATATTCACAGTACATGATTCACATGCATACCATATACATCTGAACACATATTTGGCTGACAAAGTTTTCATAAATAACGCAACACTTACATTCCCACTAATGGTAGAGAATAAACCTTGGGATCAGATTCCAGCAAAAGTAACAATTTGCGTGTTTCATCCATGGTGAGATACCTGAAAAAAAGACATTCATGCAAAAATAATTGTTAAGTATGTATTTTTTTATCTAAAAGAGATAATCTGAGTACTTAAGTATATTTTAGGTACGAGAGATAATTCAAATGAACATTGTCTCTCACACAAATGCACACAAAGAAAGCAGCTCAAAGTGTTTGACTTGGTAAAAGGAAGACTCTCGTAAAAGACATTAAAGAGATTTAATGTCTTCAAACTTCAATCTATTAAAATGGTAGCTGAAGATTACACATCTTTTAAAAAAGTTTTGCTCTACAATTTTATTTATAACTTACTTTAATCAAAAGTGTTAACATTAAGGTAGACAATTTCAGAACCAAACAGGTTTCCTCGGGAGAAGTGAACTTCCTGTTACTGGAAGTGTTCATGCATGCAGGTGATTTGAAAAGTTTGCAACAGATACGACCTCTCACTGAAGTAAACTGAATTAGGGAGGTATAATCAGCCCTCCATGTACTATATTCCTCCAGCCACTGTCAAAGAATTTTGGAACCATCATGATAAAATCCAAAAGCTCACTTTTCCATAAAAGGACATTATATTACATTTATACTTTGTTATTATATTCATTATTGAAAGTAAGTTTTTTTTTTTTTTTTTTTTGAGATAGGGTCTAACTCTATTGCCCGGGCTAGAGTGCCGTGGCATCAGCCTACCTCACAGCAACCTCAAACTCCTGGGTTCAAGCGATCCTCCTGCCTCAGCCTCCCAAGTAGCTGGGACTACAGGCATGAGCCACCATGTCTGGCTAATTTTTTTTATATACGTATTTTTAGTTGTTCAGCTAATTTCTTTCTATTTTTTTAGTAGAGACGGAGTCTCGCTCTTGCTCAGGCTGGTGAAAGTAAGTTTTAAGAATATGAAATACCACAGTAGAATTGAGAGTTAATTTTATTATTATGGTTTTTAAATCACAGAAATAAAAACAATGCTATTTATATTGTTATATAACGTCTTGATAGCACCACTGATGATATAGTTTACTACTATAATGACCACAAAACATAAAGATAATTAATTTATGGCCAGGCGCGGTGGCTCACGCCTGTAATCCTAGCACTCTGGGAGGCCGAGGCGGGTGGATTGTTTGAGCTCAGGAGTTCGAAACCAGCCTGAGCAAGAGCGAGACCCCATCTCTACTAAAAATAGAAAGAAATTAATTGGACAGCTAAAAATACATAGAAAAAACTAGCCGGGCATGGTGGCGCATGCCTGTAGTCCCAGCTACTCGGGAGGCTGAGGCAGGAGGATCGCTTGAGCCCAGGAGTTTGAGGTTGCTGTGAGCTAGGATGACGCCACAGCACTCTAGCCCAGGCAAAAGAGTGAGACTCTGTCTCAAAAAAAAAAAAAAAAAAAAAAAAAAAATAATTAATTTATCATGCATTGTGACAAGAAGATTAAGCCTGAGTTGGCATAAGATGTATGTATCAATGATCACACACATTTTAAAAGTTCTCCCCCAGCCTTGCCCACATGATAAATTCCTATTCCTTAAAAGAACTAATTCAGGCTTTCCATGATTTTCCCAGGCAATTTGGACACCACCTTCCTACGTTCCCAGCACTGTATATGAACTTCCATTATGGCACATCATGTTTAGATGTTAACATACTAAATGGAAAATAAGCAGTTTAGTGTGTGTATTTTTGTGTTTATATGAGATGGGGTCTTGCTCTGTTACCCAGACTGGAGTGCAGTGGCGCAATCAAAGCTCACCACAACCTCCAACTCCCAGGCTCAAACAATCCTCCTGGCTCAGGCTTCCAAGGGCTTTGACTATAGTTACATGCCATCATGCCTGGCTACTTTTTAAAGTTTTAATTTTTTTGTAGCAATGGGGTCTCACTATGTTGCCCAGGCTGATCTTGAACTCCTCAAGCTATCCTCCCGCCTCAACCTCCCAGGGTGCTCAGATTACAGGCATGAGCCACTGCACACAGCCTAACAACTTCATTTTTTACTTTCCCTGATTATTGATCAAGCCGCCAGGTCTCTGGCATGTAAACTGACTGTACAATGATCTCATGTTATGTGGATATCCAGAGAATATACTAATGCAACCAATATTTATAAGTTTGGATTAATATATCTTTCACTTACCCATATTTATAAGTCCCTTGAACTTGAGAAATACTCAGATTACTGCTCAAGTTTCTTGCAAGAGCTGTTGGGATAATGGGGATGGGCTTCACAGGTGTGCATTTAAAGCTATTTGCTAGAGTTATAGCCGCACAATGCAAGTCAAAATCCACATTGTCCACATTTTCCCTGGAAATGATATGAGCTCTTAGGGAAAGCAGCTTACCACAGTCCAAGGTATCTTTGCTACATACATGGTGCTGTAGAGCCTGAGGAATCAATATTAAACAATTATTTTAAAACTTTGAAATATGTCCATATCTCTAAAGTTGATTTTACACTGCTGCATATACACACATAATGTCTTGCACTAATGAAATTAAATTAGTTCTCTTTTACAGCATTTCAGTTCTCATTTCTTCCATGTGACCAAAAGACTGCGTGAATAATTATATCACAGCAAATAAGATATACTATCCGAAGCTCCATTACACATTTCCAACTTACATGTCCTAGCAGCACTTCAAATTCTTTTTTTTTTGAGACAGGGTCTCACTCTGTTGCCCAGGCTAGAGTGCCATAGCATCAGCCTAGCTCACAGCAACCTCAAACTCTGGGGCTCAAGTGATCCTCCTGCCTCAGCTTCCTGAGTAGCTGGGACTACAGGCATGTACTGTCACATTTGGCTAATTTCTCTATTTTTTGTAGAGACTAGCGTCTTGCTCTTACTCAGGCTATGCCCTTCAAATTCTTATTGGGGGCCTGGCGTGGTGGCTCACGCCTGTAATCCTAGCACTCTGGGAGGCCGAGGCGGGTGGATTGTTTGAGCTCAAGAGTTCAAGACCAGCCTGAGAAGAGCAAGACCCTGTCTCTACCAAAAAAAGTAGAAAGAAATTAGCTGGATAACTAAAAATAATAGAGAAAAATTTAGCCAGGCATGGTGGCGCATGCTTATAGTCCCAGCTACTTGGGAGGCTGAGGCAAGAGGATTGCGTGAGCCCAGGAGTTTGAGGTTGCTGTGAGCTAGGCTGATGCCACGGCACTCTAGCCTGGGCAACAGAGTGAGACTCTGTCTCAAAAAACAAACAAACAAAAAAATTCTTATTGGGGAATGTCACCCCCAATAAATATTTACTAGATAGGAAAAAAATGGATGTAAATTAATTCTGACTCAGTCTCAGAGAATCTAAAATCCATTCCATTTTGATTCCTTCCTTGTTGCCCCTAATTGTTAAGTTGGTTCTTCCCGTGTATTTGCTTGTGCCCACTGTGTCCTCTCTAGTCTCATGGCTACCACTCTACTTCAAGATAACACATCCCTCTTTCATACATACCCAACTACTGCAATGGCTACCTTCTCTGACTTCAGTCAGCCTACCCTATTAGATTAACTGTTTCTGATTCAATTAGTGTTTCCTCTTTTCAAGAACCTTCAATGACTACATGTCCCATATGACAAAGTTCAAATTCCTTAGCCTGGCAGACAAGGCTCTCTATAATCTGGCCAAACTAGTATTACAGTCTGACTGCCCATAAATCCGGCAAAAATTTACATCCTTTAATGTTACCCTGAGCACATTCTGAACTTTACTATCTTGGTCACATAGCATCTTCCTCTGGAATGCTATTCATATCGTTTGCCTCAGAAACCACATTCGATTAGATTTTAGGTCCACAACAATTCAATCAGAAATCATTACTAATACTTCCCAAATATGGGTTTATTAAAATACAGCATACTAAACATAGTTTGATTGTTGGGTTGAATTAAGAATATCAATGAGGTCAGGTGTGGTGGCTCACACCTATAATCCTAGCACCCTGGGAGGCCAAGGCAGGAGGATTCTTTGAGCTCAGAAGTTTGACACCAGCTTGAGCAAGAGTAAGACCCCATCCCTACTAAAAAAAAAAACCAGAAAAAACTAGCTGTGCATTGTGGCATGTGCCTGTAGTCCCACTCACAGGGAAGGCTGAAGCAAGAGGATCACTTGAGCCCAGGAATTTGAGGTTGCAGTGAGCCACGATAACGCCACTGCACTCTACCCAGGGCAACAGAGTGAGACTCTCTCAAAAAAAAAGGGCAATAATGACATACATATTAATTTTTTGCAAGGAAGGCTGAGCATGGTGGCTCATGCCTGTAACCCCAGCTACTGGGAAGGCTGAGGCAGGAAGATCACTTGAGCCTAGGACTTTGAGTCTGCTGTGAGCTAGGCTGATACCACGGCGCTCTAGCCTGGGCAACAGAGCAAGTCATTGTCTCAAAAAAAAAAGAATAATCAAGGAATCTCACCTTAAAAGTTGAACTGAAGTCATCTGCATTGTAAACTATCACTTCTCTTGAACAAAGTCCCTCAGTTTGAACTTTGCATGGAATCAAAAAGTCCCCAGGAAGAAAAGCAGTAGGGGTTAATTCTAAGCATTCGGGTACTTCTCGACCAGGATCAAAGCGATCTACTGTCAGTGTCACACCTTCTTCATCTGAAGAACAAAAAATAACAGCTAATATAGCATGCTAATTAAAAACATGAAATCAAGCAAGACTACATTATAGCAAAGCACTTTGTTCATACCAATAGTATAGCAAACTCTTACTTTAAAAAATGACTTCCTTTTGTATAGTTACGTAAATAATTCTTTTTTTATTAATCACTGTGTATATTTGATTTATTAACTTAATAATCAAGAGCCTTAAAACATCATTCCTTTTTATTTATATGTATGTGTTTAGAATTGAAGGTTTTTGATAGCATTGTAAGTGTATGGCTTTATTTTTTTTGAACTTATTTTCTCATTACTTGTTGCCTATAAGCCAAAATTAAGGTGTTTGAAAATAGTTTCTTTTAAAACAATAGGATGGGCTTCTGTGCCTGGAATACTGATGGAATTTTTTTGTATGACGTCAGATGTTTAAAACACCTTCTATAGCATCACTTTAAAACATGTTTTAAGGACTGACTGAGGCAGTTTGAGAATTAGTCTAGAACAGGTTCTCCTTTTTTTTCTGCTTTAGACTTGAAAAGAGACAGGCAGGTGATCTGCTACAGAGCAGTTTAAGGGAGCAAGCTGAGCTATGACTTAACGTAGCCAAAATGTGAGTGGTTGAATATCATTAAAAATACCAAATTAATTGTGTGAAACTTTGGAAGCACACCAATCTTGTTTTGTAAATTCTGATTTCTTTTCACCATTCGTATGTACTACTGAACCACTTGTAGAATTTTTTTTTTAATCTACTGCATTTAGGGAGTATTCTAATAAGCTAGCTGAATACTTGAACCATAAAATGTCCAGTAAGATCACTGTTTAGATTTGCCATAGAGTACACTGCCTGCCTTAAGTGAGGAAATCAAAGTGCTATTACAAAGCTTAAGATCTAAAAAAATAAATGACTTCCTTACATCTTCCACCTGACTAGATTGTGAAGTCTGTAATGGATAGTTTTACTCATCTTCACATCCTTGGTGCACAGCAAATAAAATTAGCACAAAGCATACATAATAGTTCGCTGAATCAATAAATATAAATTCTTTTATGGTCATACAAGTAATTTTTAAAAGTATATTACCTTCGTCCACTGTGAAAGAACCAAGTAAAAAGCATGGCAAATTTTTTCTATTCTGTTTAGCATGACGATAAGCAAGTCGAATGGTCTTTTCAGTCACCACAAGCTTTGGATTTCTGAAAAACAACAAAAATCTTTTATAAATGTGATGGATCTGATATCCTAAAAAACCCCCCTGCCATTAAATGCTACCTAAAATATAAGACATATCTTTTAAAAGATCATTGTCAAGAAATCCCAGGGTCAAAGGCAGGAGGTAGGGAGGTCCACTTGGAAACCCCAACAACAATAAGCACACATGGAAGCTATAGCTGTTCTCCAAGTATTTACTTAACTTTATGAAACAGAGCAAGAATTGACAAACTATGAGGCCGGTCTCTTGTTTTTGTAAATAAAGTTTGATTGAAACAGTCACACTCATTTGTTTACATATGGTCTATGGACTTTAGATATTAACAATATAGTAGGAAAGTTTACAGCAGTAAGTGCCTCCATCAAAAAAGCGGAAAAGTTTCAAATAAACAACCTAACGATGTGTCTCTAAGAATTAAAAAAACAAGAGCAAACCAAACCTAAAATCAGAAGAAAATAAATAATAAAGATCAGAGCAGAAATAAATAAAATTAAAACCAAAATACCCCACAAAAGATCAACAAAAGTTTTTTGAAAAGGTAAATAAAATTGACACATCTTTAATCAAACTAAGAAAAAAAGAGAGAAGACCATATTAAATAAAATTGGAGATGAAAAAGGAAACTGATACTGCAGAAATCCAAAGGATCATTAGCGACTACTATGATCAACTATATGCCAATAAACTGGAAAACCTAGAAGAAATGGATAAATTCCTAGACACATCCAACCTACCAAGATTGAATCAGGAAGAAATCCAAAATCTGAACAAACCAATAAGAAACGAGATAGAAGCAGCAATAAAGTCTCCTATCAAAGAAAAGTCCAGGACCCAAAGGCTTCATCGCCGAATTCCACCGAGAGAACTAATACCAACCCTATTTAAACTATTCTAAAAAATCAAGGAGGAGGGAATATGGTTAAACTCATTCTATGAAGCTTGTATCACCCTTATACCAAAACCAGACAAAGACATAACAAAAAAAGAAAACTATAGGCCAATATCTCTGATAAACATAGATGCAAAAATCTTCAACAAAATACTAGCAAATTGAATTCAACAACATGATAAAAAGATTATTCATCATGATCAAGTGGGATCCATCCCAGGGATGCAAGGATGGTTCAACATATGCAAATCAATCAATGTGATACATCATACCAACAGAATGAAGGACAAAAACCATATGATCATTTCAATTGATGATGAAAAAGCATTAGATAAAATTCAACATCAATTCATGATAAAAACTCTCAAAAAACTGGGTACAGAAGGAACTTATCTCAACACGATAAAAGCCAGGTATGACAGACCCACAGCTAGTATCATGCTCAATGGGGAAAAACTAAAAGCCTTTCCTGTAAGATCCGCTGGAACAAGACAAGGATGTTCACTTTCACCACTGTTACTCAACGTGGTACTGGAAATTCTAGCTAAAGCAATCCGACAAGAAAAAGAAAGAAAGGTCATCCAGATTGAAAAGGAAGAAGTCAAATTATCTGTGTTTGCAGATGATACAGTCTTATAACTAGAGAAACCAAAAGACTCCACAAAAAAACTATTAGAACTGATAAACAAATTCAGTAAAGTTGCAGGATACAAAATCAACATACCAAATAGTAGCATTTCTATATGCCAAAATAAACAATCTGAAAAAGAAAACAAGAAAGCAATCCCATTTACAATAGCTACAAATAAAACACCCAGGAATAAACTTAACCGAAGAAGTAAAAGAGCTCTATAATGAAAACTATGAAACATTGATGAAAGAAGTTGAAGAGGACACAAAAAAATGGAAAGATTTTTCATGCTCGTGGATTGGAAGAATCAGTATTATTAAAATGCCAATACCACCCAAAGCAATCTACAGATTCAATGTAATCCCCAGCAAAATACCCATGACATTCTTCACAGAAATAAAAATCAAATAATCCTAAAATTTATGTGGAACCACAAAAGACCCAGGATAGCCAAAGCCATCCTAAGCAAAAAGAACAAAACCGGAGGAATCACATTACCTGATTTCACATTATACTACAGAGATGTAATAATGAAAATAGCATGGTACTGGCATAAAAACAGACACATAGACCAACAGAACAGCATAGAGAACCCATAAACAAATCCACACATCTACAGTGAACTTATCTTCAACAAAGGTGCCAAGAACATACAGTAAAGAAAGGATAGTCTCTTCAATAAATGGTGCTGGGAAAACTGGATATTTGTATGCAGAAGAATGAAACTGAACCCTTAATTCTTGCCACATATAAAAATCAAATCAAAGTGGATTAAAGACTTAAATCTAAGACCTGAAACTATGAAATTACTAAAAGAAAACATTGAGGAAATGTTTCAGGACACTGGTCTAGGCAAGGACTTCTTGAGTATTACCCCCAAAGCACAGGCGACCAAAGCAAAATTGGACAAATGGACAAATGGGATCACATCAAGCTAAAAAGCTTCTGCACAGCAAAGGAAACAATCAACAAAGTGAAGAGACAACCCACAGAATGGGAGAAAATATTTACATCTGACAAGGAATTAATAACTAGGATATATAAGGAGCTCCAACTCAATAGGAAAAAAACAAATAATCCAATTAAAAAATAGGCAAAGGATCTGAATAGGCATTTCTCAAAAGAAAACATAGAAATGGCCAACAGTTACATGAAAAAATGCTCAACATTATTAGTCATTAGAAAAATGCAAATCAAAACTACAATGAGATATCATCTTACCCCAGTTGAAATGGCTTTTATCAAAAAGACAGGCAATAATGAATGCTGGCAAGGATGTGGAGAAAGGGGAACCCTGGTACACTGTTGGTGGGAATGTAAATTAGTGCAACCACTATGGAGAACAGTATGGAGATTCCTCAAAAAGCTGAAAATAGAACTACCATATGACCAGCAATTCCACTGCTGGGTACATATCCAAAGGAGGGGATTCAGTATATAGAAAAGATCTCCACTCCTATGTTTACTGCAGCACTATTCACAATAGCCAAGATATGGAATCAACCTAAGTGTCCATTAACAGGTGAATGGATAAAGAAATTGTGGCACATATATGCAATAGAATATTATATAGCTACCAAAAAAAGAATGAAATCCTACCATTTGCAACAACATGTATGTAACTAGAGAACATTATGTTAAGTGAAATAAGCCAAGCACAGAAAGACTAATCTCATATGTTCTCACTCATATTTAGGAGCTAAATATTAAAAATAATTATCTCCTGGAGACAGAGAGTAGAATGATGGTTATCAGAGGCTGGGAAGGGTAGTGGCCGGGGGATGGGGGATAAAGTGGGCATGCAAAAATATAGTTAGATAATGAGATAGAATGAACAATATTTCGTGGCAAAATAAAGTGACTATAATCAACAGTAAGTTAGGATATACTTTAAAATAACTAGAAGAGTGGAAATGGAATGTTCCTAATACAAAGAAATGATAAATGCCTGAGGTGATGGATACCGCAATTACCCTGATTTGATTAATGCACATTATATGCCTGTATCAAAACATCACCTATACCCTATAAAGATATATAATTATTATGTACCCATAATAATTAAAAACAAAACAAAAATTACAGTAATCTCCCTTTACCTTTGGGTGATATGGTCCAAGACCCCCAGTGGATGCCTGAAACTGTGGACGGCATCCAACCCTATATTATGTTTTTTCCTATATATACATATCTATGATAAAGTTTAATTTATAAATTAAGCACAGTTAAAAAAGAAAAAGAAAAAAAAATTAGAGAGATTAACAATAACCAATAATAAAACAGAACAATTAAAATATACTGTAACAAATGTTATGTGAATGTCATATGTGTGTCTCTCTCTCTCTCTCTCTCTCTCTCTCTCTCTCTCTCTCTCTCAAATCATCTTTTTGTTTTGTTTTAAGAGATGGAGTCTGGCTATGTTCCCTAGGCTGGACTTCTGGGCTCAAGTAATCCTTCTGCCCCAGCACCCCAAGTAGCTGGGACTAAGGTGCGATCCAGCTCAAAGTATCATATTATATTGTACTGAAGGTAACTGAAATCACAGAAAGTAAAACCAAGGATAAGGGGGGACTACTGTATTGAATACAGAATATAAATAAATGTGATTAAAATGTAAAAGAAATATAAAAGGAAAGCCAAAATATGAGCAAGGAAAAATAAACTATGAAAAAAGACCAGGCGAATTTTAAAAAGAACCACACAGAACTTGCAGAAATAAAAAATGAAATCAATTAAAACCCCATTGGATTATATAATCAACTAGGGATAGGTACATGAATGTTTATTATTATTCTATAAACTACATATATATTACAAACATTCTTGCATGTTTACAGTACACTACATTTTAAAAACCTAAATGATAACTAAGAGTAGAACTGAGTGTTTCTAACACAAAGAAATGACAAATGCCTGAGGTGATGGACACCCCAATTACCCTGATTTGATGAATTCATAATGTATGCCTGTATCAAAACATCACATGAGCCTGAGAAAGAGCAAGACCCTATCTCTACAGAAAATAGAAAAATCAGCCAGGCATGGTGGTTCGCGCCTGTAGTCCTAGCTACTTGGGAGTCTGAGGCAGAAGGATCACTTGAACCCAGAAGGTTGAGGCTTCAGTGAGCTCTGATGATGCCACCGCACTCTAGCCAGGGCAACAGAGCAAGACCCTGTATCAAAAAAAAAAAAAACCAAAACACGTGTACTCTATAAATATATACAACTATTAGGTACCCATAATTAAAATTTAAAAATTAAAAAAAAAACTAAACAGAGAGTTTACATGGCAGTTAAACACAGCTAATGAGGAAACTGATAGAGATGTAAAACAAAGGAAATTACTCAAAATGTAGTACAGAAAGAAAACAAAAGAAAACATAAAAGATAGGCTAAGAGACATGGAGAAAAGAATGAACAGGTCTAACAAACATTTAATTAAATTTCCATAAGACCCTCCTTGTTTTTGTAAATGGTACTATCCTTCTCTGTCCAACTAGTTTAGGTCTTGAATACTTTTTATCTTTCCTTTCAATTCCTTTATTTCGTCAATCATCAAATACTATACACTGTTTCTTCAGAACACTTTGTTTCATTCTTTCCTCTTGATTTGAATACTGCTACACTGCTCTGGGGAGTCCTCATATACCATTTATTAAACACTTTCTGTTCTAGGCATTCTGTCAACTGCTTTACAGAGTATGTCTTATTTAACCCTTACAAGAGTACTATGAAACAGGTATGATAGCTATTTTATAAATAAGGAAACTGATCCCTGGTTACTTTACTGAGGTAACATAAATAAGAAATGGTAGAATGAGGATTTGATCCTCTAGGCGGTCTGACTCCATTATAGCACCTTAAACCACAGCATATATCTATGTGATTACAGAAAAGCATCTCATAGCTAGGCTGACTCTAGGCTCTCCCCACTATAACGTATCCTTAGAATATTGCTTTTAACAAGTAACTCTCTTATATGCAAAATCTCAAGGATCTATTTTCTATTACTTTTAAGCCTAAACTTCTATATCTTTCTTTCAAGGTCCTGGACGTAACCATAATATTCTACTAATATATTCCTTCTAATCTGATCCACTCAAAATCAGTTCGAACTTCTCAATGTTCTACAAAGACTTCATGCTGACACATGATGAAAACCACTTTCAGTTTTTACTATATTTTGTCTCTTTTGAATTCCTACAAACTCAGAACTTTAAATTTGCAGAGTATTTTAACTGTGAAATTAAGATTATTTCTCAAAAGCATGAAGAACAGATTTAAGAAGCAGAGGGAGTATTTTGTCTGAGGGGAGCTTTTGAATGGATAAGAAAAATAAATAATTGGTCATAGTAATCCGCTTTGTCTTACCCATCCTTTTATGACTCCTGTTTATATTGGTTTGATTTGAAAAAAGAAATATCTTATACCTGTAGTAATTGAGATGTAAGTAGATGAAATCTCCAATTGGCATTGGGTTCCAAAGTGCACATTTTGATGGAGGAAAGTGGAAAGGTACCATCCTGCTTGAAGGAAACCTTGAAAAAAGAATTTAAAATTAAAGCACACGGAATAGCAAATGTGATAGAAATTTTGAAAGAAACAATTAACTATCTTTAAATGATGGTACTTTTCAGATTACTTTTATAATTTTTAAAGTGTCAAAAATGCTTTTTAAAAAAAGTTAAAAAAGAAAAGAAAACTCATTTGTAACTCTACTATCAGGTGAATAAGCATTCAAAATTTGGGTATGGCTTTTCTGTCCTTTTTTCCTATGCATATATAAATTTACACAAGCTTTTGTAAATACACACAAGCTTTAAAAAAAGAACTGGATAACTGATCCTAT